CCCAACCTCTCCTATCTCCCCGTCGCACATTTTTCTCTCGCTAGAGGTTTCCGAGGAATTCTATTTTCACCGAGAGAACGTTTGACAGGCGTTATATTCCCCAAGATCATCTTATTGAATAACAACATAATTTGATGAACATCTACTTTCACAAGATGGTACGATCCAAAACATTTTTCTGGCCCGAACCGATCTTACAGATGCAACTGAATGGACATAATGTATACTCTGTTTTAGTTTGGTCAAGTCATTGACGCTATGTTCATGCATGCTTGCTCGGTCAACTGTGTGTAAATTGTCAGTTTGTCCAACACGTTTTATGTGAGTTAGACGTTGGCTACATTTGTCATACTACACAAAAAGCAAACTGAACCAAAACAAAGCATATTATAACCGACCCCCCCCCCAAAAAAAAAACCCAAAAAAAACTAAAACAAACAAAGCAAACAAAACACGCGCACGTTTAAAAAAAGGGAGGATTTATTTTTATCAATAAAAAAACGCTTTTTATGAATGTTACAAAAACCTCCGAAATAATAAAATGCAGTATAAAACAGATAGCTCGAATTCGTCGGGACCGGCCTCGGTCTTTAGAAAGATAAAGGAGAAAAAAATAGGGACAGTAGGTATAGTTCAACGGATATACGATTCCGAGTCTTCTGTGTTCGACCTATCCTTGTTATACCGCATGTTATATAATTATGCTCCTCTGAAATTTGAAAAGAATGCAATTGAGTAAACTGTTGACCAAAGTGAAGACATGTCTGTACCTTTACAGTGTTTGTTAATACAATCACGTTTTACACTTTCATCGACACAACGTATATTATTGGTCGCTTAAAAGAACAAGCAGGCTAACCCAGATATCGGGGGGTTCCAGAAATTTTTAACTATACCAAACGTAGGCATTGTCATTCCTGTAGGAGAAGTTTGGTTTCATAGGTGTGTATATCTGTTTGGTTATAGAGAGAAAACCCTTCTTGTCTCTTGAAGAAACTGCAGACTTTTGACCGTTTTAAATGAGCTAACCCAAAAAACGACGGACAACTCGAGTGAAAAGATCACTTCAAGTCGCAGTTGAAAAGAGCCTTAAAGATTTCGATATTCCCATATCATGTAAGCTTTTTACATCATTTTTTTCTGAACTGTATCAGTTTTCACTTGAGTTCTGTTCCACATAATAGTTGTTCCACATAATAGTACCAATCTGTTTGGTAGAAAATGCTTAAAATGTAATACTCACATGGATAGGCTAGACCACCTGACTCAATGATAAAGAGTTGACAAGCTTGGTGGGTTCGCCTACTTTTCAGGGGATAGACCATTAACTATATATACTTCAGTGCAGGAATAGTCAAGATATATGCCTTACTTTGTATAGGATGTCCCATTTCGCCCACAGATTTGCTTTTTAAAAATGTTCTGCATATCTGTACAACTGAGCCAACCCAAATTTTTAGTCTAATTTTTTTTTTAATCGAGTAAATGATTGTCAGTAATCTATACATATACGACAAACAAGGGCATAACTGACTCATATGCAAAACCACAGAAGTATTTATTTGCAAACAAATAGGCAGAGATAGATATCATGGTTCCATAAACTTTACGTTTGATTTTCAAAAAACAGCTTTTTTTGATGGATAGCCCCCATTGTGCTTAAAAGCGATCTAATTCTGGAGACGTGTTGGTACCAACCTAGGTCTCAGAGCTGGCCCATTATATGTCACTATCTTCATCTTTCTGCAGTTATTCTGACATATTCTAGGTTAGTTCTAAGACCTAGGTTGAACGAACATGTCTCTAGAATTATACGTTGTGTTGATAAAAGTGTAAAACAGTTATTTACAAACATTAGAAACGTTCGAATCAAGGGTCATCAGTTGGATCAACTACAGCTTACTCTATTGACTTTTTATTATTTCAAAGGGACACGTATCATACATATAACTCATGTTATTATTGCAAAAGATTCTCTTACAATAACCATCCAGGTAGGAATGAAACTGAAAAAGCTCTTGAGCAAGACTAAAACTACTACCACTACACCCCTGATCGCTAATGTGTACTCTTTGATTCAAACATGCCGGAAAATGATGGAGCTTCTTTTATTTCTGTAGCTTTTAAGCACCACAATTGCAATGTTGACCTTCAAGGTTCTGTTGCGTCACAGACGGCATTAACCCTTTTACTTAAACAAAAAAGTCGTAAACATATCCAAAAGAAGCAAAGCGAGACAAATGCCCCCCCCCCCTTCCACATAAACACTCCCAGCGAATCACAAAAGGAAAGCAACTGTCTTTAGTTTTTGGCCAATCAGTCAACACACAAGTAACTGTTTCTCCCAAGTAGACAGTAGAGCGGGAAATCACTCAACCCAATCATCTTCCCAATTATACCGGCTGGGGCAATAAGCTAAGTAAATAATTGACGTTCTTCTACCTCGAGAGACATGATGATATTTTGTTAAGAAAACAGGTTTTAACAGCGCATATTTTGCTAAAGCTATTATATCCTCAGTTAAAGACGTTTCAGGAAGCCTCTTTTTTCATTGATTTAGTCTCGTGAGATTGCTTCAAGATATGCATGTCCCATTCACCTAAGTATTAGATAATTGATTTTCTTTTGAAAATGTAATGTCAAACAAGATACTTTTCCCACAGTAAACATTTGTGAACAATGTGTAAACGTATCTCAGCTCTCAGTTGCAAATATCATCTTCCAAACTCAAAGTAAACGATTGGAGCCTCAGGCACTCTCCTCTGTATTCACGGTAGACATAATGGCAAATTAGAAGCTTCCATCTGCGAAGGCAGAATGCTATGTTTTCAAAGAGAGCTCAATGACATGTTTGAGATCTGGATAGATAAATTAGATTCCTCATAAATGGCCGTGCCTGGGATTATCATAATAGTTCCCTTTGCCGCCCTTTGTATTTAATCATATATAATTTCCGAATACACCGAGTTATATATACAAGTGTGCAGTCTGTTAGACGCACGCCATTACCAAGTTG